CGACGCCACGCACGGCGGCCCACGGTATGGTTTCGGGTCGGGCCTGCCCCTCTGCAGGAGGGGAATATTCAACAGGAAGGCAAAACATAGTCTGGGGACGATTCTACGATTCTGTTTCCAGTTCTTCGGAGCACTTTCTGGCTATTCCTCGTTTTTCGCCCAAGATCCTCCTGGAGGGGGACGTGCCCGACCTAACAGCAGTTGCCTTGCAGAAGGCGAGACGGCGCCTTCGGCGGGCTGATGGCTTCAGGGGCGAAATCGGCTCGGCGCTCGCGGCGGGCGTTTTCACCACGGCGCGCGAGCCTCGCGCCCAGCTCTCGCTGGGGAGGCCAGAGGCCCCCCCCTTCACCCCACTCTTACTGAAACCGCAACTGCGGGGGGGTGGGGGGGGGGGGGGCAGAATTGCGCCTTCCTGCTTGCTCTTCGTCCTCGCTTTACCTGCATGGGCCCTTGCTGCCCCCGCTGCTCCTTTTTTTTTGCCTCCATGTCCTCCCCCCCTTTCTCGCTCCTCTCTCCCTCCCTCCTCTGGCCTTCCTCCTCCCTCCTGTGATCTCCTCCTCTCTCCCTCCTCCTCCTCCTTCCCTCCCTCCTCCTCTCTCCCTCCCTCCCTCCCTCCCTCCTGTGATCTCGCGCGGGATAGGTGCGCGCCCTGGCGGGGGACCTGTGGCAGGACCTGGCCGAGTGGGCAGCCGCCCAGGGGCTGCAGCGCAGCCTGGAGCTGTTCACGGCCGCGCCCGAGGCCAGGGAGGGGGAAGCAAGGGCTCCCCCGAGGGCGCGAAGTTATTCGCGCTTCGCGCTTCGCGGTCCTCGATCCTTCTCCCCCTCCTCCTCGTCCTCCTCTTCTCCCCCTTGGGGGGCGGCGCGAGAGCGCGAAGTTATTTGCGCTTCGCGCTTCGCGCAGCGCGAAGCGCGAACTTAGGAGCCCTTGGGGAAGATTCTTTACCCGCGCAAGAGGACCCCAAGTGGCAGACACGACACGACCGACCAACGCAGAGAGACGACACGACCGACGGACGGATGACGGACGACAGATGGGGACGACGGGGGGCGCGGCTGGAGGGGCGGGGGGGGGAACGCAGGCGAGGACGCGCGCCGAGAGGCAGGGAGGGGGGAAAGCAGCGAGAGGGAGCTCCGCGTAGGCCCCCGAGCCCAAACTGCCAACGCCGTGGATGACCCGATCTGGTTCTTGCCGTCGGGCCGCCGGCCAAGGCGTGCGGCCCGCGCCCAGCGCCGAGGCCGAGGCCAGAGTTCGGCACGAGCGAACGTGCTCGCCTCCGGCAGCGCTACTCGCGCCACGGGCCGCTGGCGCGCGACACTGCGGCGGAAGGGTGCCGGGTGGGCGTGCATCCCCTGCTCGGCCCATTCGTCAGTGCTCGCGCCCTGTCTCGATCTGCACGAACGAAGTGGGTACGGAAAGGATGGGCACGATGCCCAACAGCAGTTCTTGTTCACTTTGAGCAGGGCTCGCTGTCCGCGCCGCCGCCGCCTGTGTCCATTTGAGACAGGAGGTCGCCTGCCCAACAGCGGCCGCTGTTGGTTTGGTGGAACAGTTGTTGTTGGGCACTGTGCCAATTTTTTCCGTACCCATCTCGGGCGTCCAGACAAATCGGGCCCGCGGGGCGCGTTTGTTGGCGGTGCTCGACTGCACGTGAGAGTGACCCTTCGCCGGAGTGACCTCTGGTGCGCGCCCAACTGGGCCCCCCCGATCGCCGAGCGGTGTGCGATAGTAGCGTCTGGCGCGCTTGTGTTTGGAGCCCTCGCGGCCCTCAAAAAGCCGCGCATCAAAGATCACCCTTACCCAGGGTCGCTCTTGCCTGTAGCAGAGGTGCACACATTCCAGTTGGGCCGCTCAAGCTCCAGGCCGGTCAAGCAGGGTCCGAGCACGTGGGGTCGGAGGTTCGCGCCGCATCGCCAATGCATCGGCGGCGCGGCCTGATCCGGAGCCCGAACTTCTCTCCATCCCGACGTCGCCGACGCATCGGCGATGCGACGCGATCCTCCGACGGCGGTGGGATGTGGCTGCACTGCGCGGTGCGTGTTGAGGGTGGGTCGCGACTGGGGGGCTGACTTCGACGGGCGTAGAACGGTCCCTCTCCTCGTCCTCCTCCGCCCCCCCCCTTTTCCTCCTCCTCCTTTTCCTCCTCCTCCTCCTCCTCCTCCTCCTCCTCCTCCTCCTCGTCCTCATCCTCCTCCCCAAGCAGGCGATCTAACTGCCTGCGCACAGGTAGCCAATCCCAGGATTGGGTCGCAGAAGGCAGGGGGGGCAACAGGAAAAGTGAGCGCCCTTGTCGGGGCCAGGTTCATTCCTGCAGAGGCCGTCGTGGCATCCGGTGTCCTATCCAGCGTGCACGCGCCACAGACCAGCAGCAAAGTGGCAATCAGCCGCAGGACATGGACTCCCCCCCTCCTCCACCCCCCTCTCCTCCTCCTCCTCTCCTCCTCCTCCTCCTCCTCCTCCTCCTCCTCCTCCTCCTCCTCCTCCTCCCTCATCATCATCATCATCATCATCATCATCATCATCATCATCATCATCATCATCATCATCATCATCATCATCATCATCATCATCATCATCCCCCCTCCTCTTGCCTCTCTCTCCTCTCGTAGTCGTCGTCGTCCTCTTCTGGCCGCAGCGGGGCGTCGGGCGGGGGGCGCACCTCGGGCAGCCTGGCACGCCCCGCCCTCCCCCCCCCCCTGCCGCGCCAGGGCAGCGAGGCCACCGTGCGGTTCGGGGCCCCGCCCGTGGCTCCGGACGCCTGGTGCTACGTCCCCGCCGCCGACGTCCTCCTCATTGTCTCGGCCTCGGCGCTGCGTTCGGCACGCGCTTCGGGTCGGCCGGACGGGGGGGTAATCCCGCACAGTCAGAACTGAGACTGCGGGCGAGTACATCTTGAAGGGTGCCCTTGCTTCTGTGCTTCTTCGGCCAGGCCTCGGTCGCTTTTTCGCCGGCCAGCCTCCCGGGGTACCTTTGAGGCTGGCGGCGCCCCCTCAGGCCGCGCGTGGCGACACTTTTGCGAGGACGGGGTTTGGTTAGGGTGCCATTGCGTCCTTAGAATTAGTCCCGTGCGCCGCTCAAACAAGTCAACTTGGGCGTCCACGGGTCTTGCATCCTTGCCGCGCGTCCTTACTATCACATTCGATTGTAGATGCATTGGATAAGAGTTCTTGTCCTACGGAATCTTAGGGTACACTATTCGTCGATCGTTGAAGGCCCTGAGGTTTCCCAGAGCTTCTGTGGAGCCGGGGGGCCATCGGGGGATAAGACATTTCCGTGGGGCACCTGCTCGTAGGCCGCTTTCTTGTTTCGTAGGGACAGGGGGGGGGGGGGGGGGGGGGGGGGGCACGGCATCTGCTGCATGCAGCTGGGTCGCGGCCCCGCCGCTAGGCGCTTTCCCTCGATGCACTGGCGCATCCGCCGCCGAGAGGCGCCAGAGAAGGACGCTGCGTAAGCTGAGCTGACGCGCTAGCCTCCCCTTAGCTGCGGCCCCATTCCGTCCGCACCGAGCGACGCTGAGGAGGGGCGCTTTCCAGGATGGGGCAGGGAGGTGGGGGGGAAGGGACGCTTCTGAGGAAGAGGGGGAGGAGGAGGAGGAGGAGAAGGAGGAGGAGGGAGGAGGAGGAGGAGGAGGAGGAGGAGGAGGAGCAGGAGGAGGAGGAGGAAGAGGAGGAGGAGGAGGAGGATCAGGAGAGGATGAGGAAGAGGAGGAGGAAGAGGAGGAGGAGGAGCAGGGGGAGAAGGAGGAGGAGGACGAGGAGCAGGAGGAGGAGGAGGAAGAGGAGGAGGAGGAGGAGGAGGAGGAGGAGGAGGAGGAGGAGGGGCGGAGGGGGAGGATGCTGAGAAGATAGGATTTCGGATGGTTTCTGCGGATGTCAGCGACTTTCTCAGGTGAGCGCAAGCATGGATCAAGGGGGCGTGAATTAGCGACGGTTCACGTTTCCATGGGAAATCGCGGATTTCCGCCGCCGAACGAGGCGGCACTGGCCCCATTTTTGGAAGGGCACCTCCCCCGATCCATGGATTTGGCGACCGCGCGCCAAATCCATGGATCGCTAATCCATGTTTGCGCGCCCCCGACTTTCGAACGGTTGGCGGTGGTCCCTGGGTGTTGTCGGAAATTTCTGTCGGTTTTCTGAAGGAGGAGGGGGACACATGAGGAGAAGGCAACAAAACATTCAGAGTGCCAAGCCGCATTTGCAGGCCGCAGCAGACAGTATTGGCTGCATTGCTTTGCTGAGTTCCTTGGCATCCGAACTTGCCGTGATTTGTACGCATGTGCATGTTGGGGAGACAGTGGTAAATCCAGCGCCAGGTTCGCGAGAACGCATGTCCTATTAGGACGCCTGGCGAAGTTTGCAGGTGCAGAGCGCGTGCTGGGTTAATACGGTGAGAACCTCGGGCGCAGTGGTCACCAACCATGTACGGCATTCAACGGCAGTCGAATTAAAGGTACGGAGCTGTCGTGAAGAGTCGACGCGGCGCCAGCGAGGGCGTTCAAGTTTGAACGCCGCCAGTGGCCCGACATCACCGATATCGAACGATCGACTCTATCGGACACCGCGATCGTTTCAACTTGCACGATCCACGCGATGTCTGAAAGCTACCCGCAAGTCGTCGCGAGTCGAACTGACCGTACCCGTGAGATATGCGAAATCTGTCTAAGTTTGTTTCGATGTCTGCCGTTTACTTGAGGACGGACGCATCCCAAACGCAACGTATGCAGGCCATTGTGCCGACGTTGGCATCGAACCTTTCTTTCGGTGCGCCACGTGACACAAGAAATTGCGACGCACTCAAGGTCACCGATGCGACGTATGAGTGGGTTGAGGCGACGGCCGGATGACGATTAGGATGGTGAAGTTATGCGTTGTAAGCTATGTGGTGCGAGCTAGGTAGTGTGAGCTATTTGGAGTGAGCTATGTTGTGTAAGCTATGTGGTGTGACCTACGTGGCGTGTGTTTTGATTGTGGAAGTTTTGCGATGCCAGCTATGTGGTGCAAGCTATGTCGTGTAAGTCATGTGGTGTGAGCTGTGCAGTGTAACCTAGGCGGTGTGACCTATGTGGTGTGGCTCTGTTGTGTAAACCATGCGGTGTAAGCTATGTGGTCGTGATCACTATGGGTGCAAGGCATGCGGTGTGAGCTATTTTGTGTAAGCTATGTCGTGTACCCCGTGCCGTGTAAGCTAGGCGGTGTCAACTGGAGGTGAAAGCTATGTATTGCAACCTATGTGATTTACACTGTAGTGTGCAGTGTCTGCGTTGTAATATCTGCTTTGCAAGCTGCATGGTGCAAGCTATATGATGCAATCTATGCTGTGCAACCTATGCCGTGCAAGCTGTGTGGTGTAAGCTCTCTGTTGGCGGCTGTGTCGTGTAAGCTACGTGCTTGGGGCGCCCACGCGGCGCCCACGAGGCGGCACGGGCGTCAACGTGGCGAAACCCCAAACATTACCCCCAAGTGTGGGGCGTACGCAAGGCGCCCACGAGGCGGCACGGGCGGCACCGTGGCGAAAACCTTCTGTAACCGCCCAAGCGCGGGGCGCCCACGAGGCGCCCACGAGGCGGTACGGTAGGTTCGTGTCGTGTCGACCAGCGGCGACCCCGCCAGCGGCGTTCAACGTTGAACGCCGCGGGGGACCCAGAATCGTTCGATGTGGAGCGATTGCGACGTTCCGGAAACGGCCGATCCTTCAAGGTTGAACGATCCCCGCGGTGTCAGGAACCAACGCCGGGGTCGACACGACACGAACCTGCCGTACGCTGCTTGTCATCGGGGTGAGAGTTATTTGACGGCCTTCGGCCCATCCCGCCACCCTGCCTGGTGTGTGCGTCATAGGCCTCTGGGATGTTCGTTGAGATGTCGCGGGGGGCCTTTCGGGGGCCTCTTGGGGGCCGTTTGGAGGCCTCTTGGGAGCCGTTTTGGGGCTGCTTGGGGCGTGATGAAGGCCTCATGGAGGTCTCTTCGGGCCTCTTGGGGACCTCTTGGCGCCTCCTTGTCGCTTCCTGGGGGCATCTGAGGGCGGAAGACTTGGATTTTCCGTCAGTGTTCCTTTCTTGGGCCCTTCTTAGGGCTGTTTTTGCTTCCTGGCCGCCTCTGGGGCATTTGTGGAGCCCTCTTGCGCAGTCTGGTGGCCCTCTTTGGTAGCCACGCTGAGAGCCAGAGCGCTAGAGGTCCGATTTACTTACTCTTGGCTGAAGTGCGGTTGGGGGGCAGAACCTCTGACATTCTTCCCCAGGCAGGTCGTCCTTCTCCGTCGCGCGCGATGGGCGGCCGAGGGTCGCCAGCCCGCTTTGTTGGCGTGTGTTCGTAATTGGGTTCGTGGCGAAGCTGCCTGGCGTTCCCCCTTTCGCGCCTATCGGCGCGTGCTCGCCTGGTGAGAGACCGGATACAAGCTACTAGAAATTACTTGGAGCCAATTGAAGCTAATGGCTCGAGGCTCGATTCATTGGCTTACGCAACGCCGCCGACCCCTTGGGGCGGCAGCAATCGTCCCCCGCGTGGCCTGTCCGGACAGCCTGTGAGGCCCCTCTAGACACATTTTAGAGCCCTCTTAGGACTGTCCTGCCGTTCCCCCAGGCTGTTGCTATGGTTTCTGGGGCCTTCGTGGGGCGCCCGGAGGCCGTCGTGGAGCCTTTTGGAGAGTCTCTTGGGGTGCCAGAGGTCGATCTTGGAGGTTTACTGGGCCGTGGTGGGCCTCGTGGAAGCCCAAGAAGCGAACATGCTGAACATGTACGTTTTCCCTAGGGAATGGGACGTGTTTTGCTTCTGGAGGCCTGGTTGGAGCGCCTCGTGGTCGCGTATGCAAGCGTCTTGGACGCCCATTGGGCTGTCTGGAGGCCATCGTGGGCGGCTTGGACCGAATCGTCCCCCGCGTGGGCCGTCCGGACAGCCAACGTGGGCCCTTTTGCACCGTTGTGGAGCCCTCTTGGGGCCGTCCTGCGGCTTTCCTGGGCCGTTGCTATGGTTGCTGGAGCTTTCGTGGATCGCCCGGAAGCCGTTTTGGAGTCTTCTTGGGAGCCTCTTCGGGTGACAGAGGTCGATCTTGTAGGTTTATTGGGCCGTTGTCGGCCTCGTGAAAGCCCAAGAAGCGGATATGCTGAACATGTACGTTTTACCTAAGGGATGGGACGGTTTTTGCTTGTGGAGGCTTCCTTGGAGCGCCTCGTGGTCGCGTTTTCCAGCGTCTTGGACACCATTGGGCTGTCTGGCGGCGATCTTGGGCGGTTTGGACCAAATCGTCCCCCGCGTGGGCCGTCCGGACAGCCTTTGGGGGCCCTCTTGCCCTGTTTTGGAGCCGTTTTGGGACCGTCCTGCGGCTTTCCTAAGCCGTTGCTGTGGTTTCTGGGGCCTTCTTGGGTCGCCCGGAAGCCGTCTTGGAGCCTTTTTGGGAGCCTCTTGGGTTGGCGAGGGTCGATTTGGGAGGCTTCTTGGGCCGTTTTGCGCCGCGTGGAAGCCGAATGGGCGAACGTGATGAAAATATACGTTTTCCAAGAGAGCGGG